AGCATAATTGAAAGACAGGTCAAGTTTTTCTAGCCTGTGAAGATAACTGAAAGCTTTAACCGATGTGTCCTCACCAGTTACAGCTTTTTGTAAAAAGTTAAATTCCAGGAACAATTGTGTAAGATTCGTTAGACTTTGAAACCAAGAGGGATCAAGGTAATTTAGTGAGTTTCCTCCCAGGTTCAATGTCTCCAGCTGTTTCAGTCTTTGAAATGCATCAGGATCTATGTCAATAGAACCGTTAGGGCAAGGAACACAAGGGTATGGAGCATTGTGACATCTTGGACAGTTGCCTTGTATATCAAGGAATTTGACATTTTCTAACCCTTGAAAATCATCTTTATATATGTTCTCTATTTTGTTGGAATCCAGACGTAAGATTGTAATTGACTGGGGTAGTCCTTTAGGAACATGGGTTAAGTTGTTATAAGACAAGTCCAGGTATTTCAGTTTTTTCAGTGGTGCAAAAGTGTTTTCGCTGATAGCGACAGACTTCCCACAAGGGTTGCGGAAGTAGCAGTTTTTAGATAACAACAGCATTTTCATGTTTTGCAAGCCAATAAAGCTATTGTTCAGTTTATCCATACTAACTTTGTTAATGTTTAGCTCAAGTCTTTCCACACTGTGGGGGAGATTGCGTGGAATTTCAGTCAGACAGTTGCCGCTCAGTCGTAGTTGCTTCAGTTTTGTCAGATTTTTGAAAGCATTTTCAGCGATCTTCAGTGCTCGGCATCCATAATCAGTCTTGGTGTTGTTTGCCCAGTTGAGATTCAGATGTGCCAGATTCAGCAGATGAGAAAGTGAATCAGCTTTAATACTCCTAATGACATTTTCTGACAAGTCTAGATCAGTGGCATTAGTAGTTATACCTTTTGGTACTTCCTCTAGATGACGGCCTTTACAGTCAAATTTGACTGTATTTGAAGCATTGTTGGATATGACATCACAAGGAAACTGCCTTGTCATCCAGAAGGGTTTATGTGCAGCCAGCTGGACCTCATCATGGCAACACAGACAGAACAACAGCATCCAGCATTTGGTAATCTGTGAAAAATTGATGAAATCAGTTAACTTAAATAATTTAAAGCTTTTGTTTTTGGTCATATTATTTGGACTGACCCTAAATCAGTTAAGCTACTCCAGGACTCCTCGTGCCATACTAGCGCTTCTCCTTGATTACACTGTTTTCACTTCCCATTTATTCATAAGCCTTGCATTTCTGCATGCATAAAGTTTGTCTCTACTCTTTCTCAGTATTTTCTCTTGTCTTGTTTGTTGTTTTGTGGCCTCTCCATATTTCTCCCTTCCATTCACACCTCAAGCAGTACAGTAGCAGCAAATGGCTGCTGCTTCTTTAGCCTAGTTTACCCTCCCTCCTTTACCCAGTCCTTGGTCATAGAGTCTTGTCTGCTTGTTTGGGTTCTTGCTCTAATTTTGTTGAGTTTGTGCCTTTCTAAATTACATCAAGGTTCAGACTAATATTTTGATCTGTGAGCCCCAGATAATACACTCACTGCAGCAAAAGATGTTCTTGGCCCAATTAGACTGTCAGTTATGACATCCAAGAACTACAGAGATGTTTTGAGAGAAAACATATTGATAAGATAAAATAAGATGCCTATTATATATTATAGTATTTGTTTGAAATAAAATATTAAGCCGACTCGCATTCCACATTCATTATATGCAATTTATTTTTAATTGTTATTTATTTAACTGTGATAAAAGGCAATTCTTTTATGGCTCATGATGATTTGGAGATCTGGATGGCCAAAAGAAAACAACAACTCATTTGTTTGAACGCTTACTGTTGGGAAGTTTTAAAACTGTTCAAGTGCAAACAGGTTTAATCACAAAAAATAGCAGTGGAATAAAAGATTTGTGGATATATACTGTAAGTGAATGAGGCCCATTGATGTTACAAAGTAAGCTTGAAGAAAATTGTGTCACTATCGTTTACCAAGTATGGCATCACTTCTACCCAGCAGGTGCCAATAAATTGTAAATCAAATTGTAGCTGGAAAGACTGTTCCTGTTTTTGTCGCACTTGGGAAAATATTAAATATCAAAATTACTGAACAGTTTGTGTAATTTGTAATTGACTCATTTTAAATGTACATTTTAATGTAATTGTCCAACAAATACCAAATACAAAAAAACCCCCCCAAATACCAAAGGCCATTTCCAAAGTAAATTAAGTCAACTGTACAGGTTTTTAGAATCAAATAAATCTATGAAACATTTTGTCACCAAAATCCTGAAACTAGAAAAATAATCAAAAATAATACAGATAAATGAAATCAAAGCATATAAAGGTAATCAGAAATTTAATAAAATGTAAAAATGTAATTAAATATAAAGAACAGAAAAAAAAAAAAAAAACTCACCATTTTTTCTCCACTATATTGATCCCTGAATGACAATTTGGAAAATTATGCTAGTGTGCTTCAATTTTTTTTTTCAATTGTTAGACTTGAAAGTTTCTTGTCTTTTATTAATGATTTCGTTACAACTGACCTTGTTTGTTCCCTTCAAGACAAATAAAAATGAAACACGCTGTTAAAACTACATGATAAGCTGTGGGAGGGAAGTAGCCCATTAATTGAAGAACTGCATCTTTTTCATTTCCCCCCTTCAAAAATGACAGTTTATTTGTCAGCCAAGATGAACACTGGAATGCCCAGTAAACACAGCAACAGTGCATAGTGCCAGTCAGTTCTTCAGATTATGTGAAGTAATATGGAGTTTAAAAATGACATATTTCTTATTCTTATTTCTTAATATGACATTAATAGTATATCTCCTCACACACTGATTTATTTCTGAGTGGGACACTGAATTTTGGGCTAATTTGCAAAATGCACTGTATTAAAACTGTGTCACTGGCACCACCTTGCGGACAATCTCAAAAATTTCCAAATGTGAAATAGCAGATGAAAGCATGCAAGTTATATTACACATACTGTGTCGATTTGGATTTTTAATAATGGACTGCAATTTAGGATCTGTCAATTTTGTACTAAATTTCTCTTTTGTGGAACTGTTAAACCTGGTACTGGTGTCACTCAGCACAGATGTTTTCTAACATAGAAACCAGAGACTAGAGTATAAAATCTACATCCGCAAAATGCCACACATTGTATTTATTTTTTTTATTAATGCACTGCAGACAGATTACACAAGATTTATTATGCTTTCTCAGCAAATATAAGAAAATTCGTTTTTTATTGTTTTCTTATTAGATTCAGACAAAGAAGAAATCGTTTAAAAGAACCAAATAAGCATTGCTCCAAAGAACTGTGATTTTAAAGCAGGATCATGTTATTGTCTGCAGACTAGAATTACAAATCAGTCCCAGGCAGATAAGTGATGATTATCCTTCTTCACTTGGTGGTGAAGCATTTTGAATAAGTCAATAACTCAACAACTATAAGAAAACAGTTCAGTCAAAGAAGACACACTTTAAAAAGACCAAACAAGAAATTATATATAAAAGCACTGGTTATATAACAAACTCATGTTATTATCCTTCTTCACTTGGTGGTGAAGTATTTTGAATAGGTCTTGTTGTACATCACTTGATTATCTACTCTTAAGACACTTTGCAGGTTTTGCCAAAACC